GGCCAGTGGAAGGTAAAGATTATTTCTACAGTACATTGCTATGAAATAAGCTGTGTAGAGAATTAAGAAATTCAAGGTAATAAATTAGTTTCTCTTATACCTAATATATCCTATTGCTCAAATTGCCACAGTAAAATCATTACCTTATAAATACAAGTGTTGCCAAGCGTTAACCTGTTAACAGATTTAGAATTACAGCACTGTTGTTTGATTAACTATTAAAGTCTTACTGTAACAAAAAATTATTTCTGAATTAACACCAGCAAAAAACATTTGCTTTTTATTCCCCCCCCTCCCCCCCCCCCCAAAACCCCCCCCATTTTAAAGGAATTGTAAAGCACTGAAACAGGTTTTTGGACTGTACTTCCTTACCTCTTTTCAAAATCACATTTTAAGAGAGTAAAAAGATTACATTAAAAAAAAGGGGGAGCGGGGGGAAGGAAAAAGGAGACAGAGGGAGAAAGAAAGGGCAGAGGGGAAAGGGAGAGACTGTGCCCTGAAATACAAGGATGGATAATCATATGCCAAAAGCCATAAAAGCATTCTGTTAAACACTACCATCTGAGGTGGCACTGTTTAGCGCTGAGAAGCAACACAAAACTCACAAAACACACACCTCCAAAAGCTCATTTTCAGTTTGTTTGGTTTTTTTTATATTTTTATACATACATATCTATCTATCTGTCTCTCTCAAAGAATCACAGAATGGTTTGAGTTGGAAGAAACCTTAAAGATCACCTAGTTCCAACCCCTCTGCCATGGGCAGGGACATCTTCCACTAGACCAGGTTGCTCAAAGCCTCCCTCGACCTCTTCTTTTGACAGCGCCCAGGATACAGTTGCCCTTCTGGACTGTGAGTGCACATTGCCAGCTCACATTGAGCTTCTCGTCAACCAACACCTCTGGTTGGTTCTTAGATGGTCTTAAACCTGATCTTCTCCGACAGTGGGCAGTTACTCATTCTCGCAGTTCCTGCCTTTGCCTTCTGCGACTTGGGCAGCATGGCTTCAGCAGTTGCTGGTGAAGACTGAGAAAAAAAAGTCATTGAGTACCTCAGCGTTCTCCATATCCCAGGTAACCAGGTCTCTCGTTTCCTTCCAGAGGAGGCCCACATTTTCCCTAGTCTTCTCTTTATCACCAACATACCTATAGAAGCTTTTCTTGTTGCCCTTGACATCCCTGCCCAGATTTAATTCTATCAGCTTTCCCAACACAATCCCTGGCTGCTCAGACAATTTCTCTGTATTCCTCCCAGGATACCTGTCCTTGCTTCCACCTCTGCAGACTTCCTTTTTGTGTTTGAGTTTGTCCAGGAGCTCCTGGTTCACCCTTGCAGGCCTCCTGGCAGTTTTGCCTGACTTACTCTTTGTTGGGATGCATTGCTCGTCAGCTTGGAGAAAGTGACCCTTGAATATTAACCAGCTTTCTCGGGCCCCTCTTCCCTCCAGGGCTTTATCCCATGATACACTACCAAGCAGATCCCTGAAGAGGCCAAAGTGTGCTCTCCTGAAGTTCAGGGTAGGGAGCTAGCTTTGCGCCCTCCTCACTGCCTTAAGGATTTTGAACTCCCATCATTTCATGGTCACTGCAGCCAAGGCTGCCCTTGAACTTCACATTCCCCAGCAGTCCCTCCTTGTTGGTCACAACAAGGTCCAGCATAGTAGCACCTTTCCTCGTTGGCTTGGAGAAGGAAGTTATCATCAACACATTCCAGGAACCTCCTGGATTGCTTATGCCCTCCTGTGTGGCTGAAGTCCCCCATGAGGACCAGGGCTTGTGAATGTGAGGCTGTTCCTATCTGTCTATAAAGGGCCTCATCTGCTTGGTCTTCCTAGTCGAGTGGCCTGTAGCAGACCTCTACTATAACATCAGCTGTCTCTGCTCTCCCTTTAATCCTGACACATGAACTCTCAGTTGGCTCCTCATCCATCCCCAGGCAGAGCTCCACGCACTCCAGCTGGTCACTGATATAGAGGGTGACACCCCCTCCTGGTCTCCCCTGCCTATCCTTCCTAAAGAGCCTGTATCCTTCCATTCCAATGCTCCAGTCATAGGAGAGATCCCACCACATCTCCATGATGCCAATAAGATCATTGCCCTGCAGGCATGCACACGTCTCTAACTCCTGCTGTAATTTATTCCCCATGCTGTGTGCGTTTGCATAGAGGCATTTAAGTTGGACCCCCGATGAAGCTGACTCACTGGCTGGAGGTGCTGGAATTCCTTTGTGTTGCTCTTCAGGTGTTCTCCTACTGAGCTGTGAACCTTCTCCAGGCTCTGGGCATCTACTGGTGGCACTGGCATCAAACTGGTAGGAGTGGGATGGATTGAGGTTCCCCTCCCCCACCAACTTTAGTGTAAAGCCTTCTTCACCAGCTTGGCAAGCCTATGACCCAAGATGCTCTTCCCCTTCTCTGACAAATGGACCACATCACGTTTCTCCAAGTGAGTCCCATGGTCTAAGTAGCTGAAGCCCTGGCTGTGGCACCAGTCCCATAACCATTGGCTGATTCACAAGATTTGACTGGCCCTTTCAAACTCCTTCCCTTTGACTGGGAGGACTGATGAAAAAACTACCTGCACTCCAGAGTCCCTTACCACTGCTCCCAGGGCTCTGTAAGCCTTCTTGATACTCCTCAGACTGCTCCTGGCTGTATCACTGGTGCCCACGTGAAACAGCAGCAGCAGATAATAGTTGGTGGACTGTACAAGGCTTGGTAGTCTCTTGATGACATCCCCGATACGAGCCCGCAGTAAACAGCACACGTCTCTAGAGAGTGCATCAGGTTGGCAAATGGGTGCTTCCATACCTCTCAGAAGAGAGTTGCCTACTACTATCACCCCTCCTACTGGCTGCTCCCAGGGCTCATAATCGTTCTTGATACTCCTCAGACTGCTCCTGGCCTTATCACTGGTACCCACACGAAACAACAGCAGTGGGTAACAGTCAGTGGGCTGTACGAGGCTTGGTAGTCTCTCGGTGACACCCCTAATACGAGCCGCTGGTAAGCAGCACACCTGTCTAGAGAGCGTGTCAGGTCGGCAAATGGGTGCCTCTGTACCTCTTAGAAGACAGTCGCCTACTACTATCACCCATCCGTCGCCTTTTCTTAGTTGTGCTGGTTGTTATATATACATATGTTGTTTTATAGATATATATTTATGTGTAATGTATTTATGTGTAAAGTATTTCACTGGAAGCTCTTGCAAAGCACAAAACAACACGGACGAGCTCTATTCTAGGAAGCTTTCTTAAACCCTTAAGAACTTAAAGCAGGTAATTAAGACTTTCAATCAGTTTTTCTAATTCTCTGCAACATTTCTGAATGTCAAGCATGCAGACTATGCCCAGGCCCGAGCGCAGACACTCTGCTCTTCAGAGATCCCAAACCAGCCAAGCTGAAGCTCGCTCTGCGCTAGCTGAGACTCGGGACTCACTGTGCTGCTTCCACTGCGCACACCTTTGGCTCAGTGACACCAGCCCCAAACCAGCAGAGGACAGTGCTGAAGGCCAATCTGTGGATAGCCAGTGTCTCAGAAATACTTTCATTTCACCTTCTTTCACTGAGGTACACAGTACCCCTGAAGATCACTTCATCCACGAGCATAATTTCTGATGATGAGCTTATTTTACACTCGGTAATAAGACAGGTGATTGCTAGTAGTTTAAAAGAGAGATTGAGAAGTTTCTAAGTTCACCAGCAGTTTTAAAGACGAGATGTCTGCTGCTGCTTCATTAGTCCACTAATTCATTTTAGAGTTTTCTGTAGTTCTCACCAGTAAAAGCTACTTCCGCTATGTATGTGATAAATACAGCTGTGAAATATACTCAGTCTTGCACTGGTCCATCACTGTCAGCATAGAAAAGCAAACAGGTATAGCCAGTAAACAAAAGTGACTTACCATAAAGCATGAGCTGACTTACCCAGCAGGGTAACTACTTTTGTCCTCTTTTTATTTATTTACTTTTTCAAACACAAAGGAAAGAAAGCAATAGTCCTGTATATCGAATGAATACAAAGCACAAAGATAACTTTTTTTGGATTTCAAAGCTCCAAGCCCAGAGATCAGAAACTAAACCCAAAATCAAATCTTTCAGCTGTCAGCTGGTCCAGCTTATTTTGGTATGCAGAGCAGCGTATCATCCAAAGAGACAGATTCCACCTGCTACTTATAAATACAACTTCAAGGCACACTTTACCAACACTGCTAACTTTGCTCTCATTACTGCACAATGCATGCTTCAGATTTTGGCAGGTCAGGACATTGTGAGTATCACAAGATAAATGCTGATAACTCTGTTCAGAACTACTCCACTTTCCTTACATAAACAGGTACATGTACATCCTCTCACCTTGTCATTTAATCAAAGACTTCGAATCTTTGGGCCAATCCCTCACCTAACAAGGTACAAGTCGTTTCCCCAGAAATCCACAGACAGACAGAAATTCACACAAGTGCAGAAAATTATTCTGTGTTACATCCATCTCCAAAACCATTCCTGAGCTCATTGCCAGCCTTGCAAAGAGGAAGGTAGAGCTAAGAGAAGAAAAAAAACCCCAAAGGAACAAAATCCATCCCTTAAAAACTCTTCTACAGCCTCAGCACACAAATGCTGAGCAACTACTTAAAAACAAAACAAAACCCCTGAAATTATCATTCACAGGATAGCAAGCAAACAAGCCTGCAAGGAAGAGAAGGCTTTCTGTACAGGCTATTGCCGGTTTGTTTATTTTTCCATACACTACAACTTGCAAGACAGAGCTATCAACGGGTAAGACAAACATGAATCACACACACCAAGAACATAAATCTGTTTGCATCAGCAAACACTATAGTTAGACTTTATTTCTCCGTTCAAAGAAATGTGGCTATGTACCACGCACACACCAACACCCTCCCCTCTCACACGCTCCTCGCCACAGAGAACTCAACACGCCGTCACTACTACATATGCGTCGCTGCGTCTTCCGTCGCGGCGCAGGTCCCTGCCCATCCCAACCGCGGTCGCACCACTCCTGTGGCACCGACCTCCTTACTTCTACCCTCCTACCCGGCTCCACCCTGCCTCCGCCACCACCGTGGCTCCGAGCCCTGGCCGTCCACGTGCACCGCCTGCCTGCCAGGTCCCTTCTGGATCCCCTGCGGGCAGCTGCCACGCGCACGGTCCCTTTGCCATGGCGGTGGATGGCCATCGCCATCCTGCTGACGCAGCTTAAAGGCCACTTCTTTTCCGCTCTCCTTCTTTTCTGTCTGCTCACTCTTCAGCCTCTGCCTTCTCCGTTCTCCCCAACGCTTCTGCTTCTTCCAGAAGCACCTTCGCCTCCTTCTCGTTCTCAAACCTGTTTGGGCCCTTCGTGACTAATTCTTCCATCTGGGCTCTCCCTGACTTGCACAGCTTTGGTCCCTGCTGAGACTGTCAGTCCCTGTTTGCCAGGACATTTCGGCACAAGTTTAAGTGCCTCGTCCTTGCCCGTTCTGTCCTCTTCCCTAGAAGATGCCCATTCTTCAGGCTTTTCTATCTTCAGTTACTACAGAGTCATCTCCGGCCACCAAGCTTACAACTTGTTCCCCTCCGGTCTATTCAAGTAACTCTGCTGCTAACAGCATAGTGCTCTTCCAAAAACCAAAGGATGCCAACACACGGCGCAAATGTCTGGCGTGCTAGGTTCAAGTGCCATTCTTCTCCTTCAAGGACCTCCACAGTTCCATCCTACTGTCTTTTGTGTGGGCAGTGATACTCTCTCCCTAATGCATCTTCTGTATCGATTTCCCACTTATGGTCTTGTGTTCAAACACTGCATTTAGAACTGTTTTTTCATTATTTTTTTATTCACTCTTAAAAGCATATTTTCCATAAATGACTGCAATTTATTTTCCAAAATGAAATCCATCACTCAGTTTTGTTGGGGTTTTTTCCCCCTAATGCGTAGTATGTGTAGTACATATTGCTATGTTCTAATTGGTACGTATATTCCTCAAGGCAGGGACCCGAAATCTTTTATGCATGCTCTTTTATATACTTTCATACGGTGCCAAATGTTCTGACTTCAAATAATTTCTAAGAGCAATTTATCATTATAAAGTCAAGCTTCACCTTTTCAAAGAGTCAAAGTCTCTCTTCTCATCAGAGGCACAGCCTGAAGTTGAGAAACAGTGATTCTTTCCCGTGAGCCCCAAAAGTAAACTAAGCCCCTCTTCCACCTATCCCGAGTTCATCTCTTAGTGAGCCAAAAGGACCGTCAGATAGTTAAGAAACGAACAAAGTGTGCATCACATCACTAACCTCTCATCTCTCTGCTTTTCTGAAACATAGGTTTCCAGCCAGTTTTACCCATTTACAGGATATTAGTAACAACAAGCAAGAAGCATAACACCAAATACGTTTCAAGTGCCACGTACCACCAAAGGAAACACTTTTCTCTCCATTTCTTCAATTCACAAGCAACTGGAAAAAAGTGGGCTATGGGGAACATCACATTAAAGTATAAGATCCCTAGTGGTGAGTCTCACCCAAGTGAGGTATTCTTCGTACACAGGTTAGTCTCTTTCTACACCTAGGACTACAAGCCTAATTTAAAAGCTTTCCAAACTTACTTTCCTCCAGCACATGCATGCTGCTTTGTATCACACATTTTACCATCTGCAAATACAAATATACTCCTTTACTCTTCAGGGCGATGCTGAAGTGAGTAGATTTTCCACCAGAGAAACACAACATAACCATGACTCTTTCACTCCGAGAGCAGAATTTGAGCCACACTGCTAAGTCCTTAAACCTGTTACACAACAAATAAGCATGGATTACAGCGTGGCTGGTTCTTTATGGGATGTTTTGTGATGCTATTCCTAACACACAAACGCTGTTTGTCTTAGCCACATACATAAAGATCATTCTCCTATTTTTCATTACGCATCTTTATCGCTTTCACTTTTCTGCATCTCACCCATTTATTACTCACCTGCTCCCTATTTAATATACTTTCATACCACAGAGAGTGCTAAATAATCATGATGTAACAGCATAGTATTATACTTCCTCTGTATATAAACTACTGCTCGCACTACAGTTACTTGACACCTCCTACTATCGAAACAAACCATTTATAACTATATATTATCTTTAGTACTCCATGGCTACTCCACTTGCAGTGCTAAACACAGAGTGTACAAATAAAAAGAAACAATCTACACTGAGGAGGTTTTTACATCAGTAGAAATATCAAGCAAAACTAATAAAAAATGCCTGACTAAAAGCACATTTTTAGGCAGGTGTAAACTAATTTTGGCAGGTGTACAACAGTCAGCTACAATGTTCACTAATACTTTAGAGGATTTTGGATTTTTTTTTTTTTAACAGGTTTAGATAAGCACACCCATATTTACTTTTTTAGGTAATGGGTACGTTTATCAAAGTCACTGTTTATAATCTGAAGAGAAGACTTCCCCACAAGCAAAAACTTGCCATATAAAAAAAAAAGAAACCCAGCCTCACAACTTGATTAACAGTAAAAAACACATTCTTGAAAGAAAAAACACATAGCATTATTACTACTGTGTATAGGGTCACAAGTATAGCACCTTATCTATAATCATATATTTTCAAAACATAAGGAAACATTTTTCAGAAAACCCATGTATCAGGCTTGTAGTCAAGTGGGACAACTCATTTCAACATCACAACTTTTCAAATACAGCTTTACTACTAAAGGCTAAGTATCATTCCTCATTCTGTCCCACTTCTCTACTGATAGGCTTTCAAGTATCCCCTGAACTTCCTACATGTGATTAATTCAATTAACATACAAAGTCAAGGTGTTACTTAAAAACACTATCCAAAATGAGGTATGGTTAAAACTTGCACAGAAAGCACAATAAAAATTATGATTATAGTACTCAGAGCATTAAAACTCATGGGTCAAGCACTCATATACCGTGACACATCCAAAGACTTAGGAGAGCCTTTTGAACATAACTTAGCTGTGTTAAGAACAAACTTCTCTTATTTGCCTTTTGAGCTTTTACAGTACACTCAGTCACGTCTGAAGCTTCTTCCAACGGCAAAGCTGAGGGACTTTGTTTTCAGAGGCTTACATCTTCTGTTTTGCAACCACCGGACTGCAGAAAAAGGGGCTTCAGGAAACGATCCCGGTCTCCGCTGACAAAATTCTAAGTGGGAACATCATAATTGAAGCACACAGCTGTGGTATTCCTTTCCTCCTCTGTTTCACCCATAAAATACTCCTCAGAAGGCTACAGCAGCTTACTGATAAACATCTAATGCAAAGGGACAGAATAATCCCTCCATGTACTCATTCAGTGGATGGTCAGATCTGCAGAGCATGCATAGCCTCCACTTACTCCATGGGATTTACATGTAATCAAAAAATTAGGCAAACGAAAACAAACTATTGTGGAAAAAAATAATATTTGATTTAGGTATATAACATTTGAGATCTAGGTTCATAAATATCTTCCTTAATGCGTTCGACTAGATTTAACAAAATTAAGAATGCTAAAGATAAAATATAGTGTTAAAAACCATCTTAATTTGACGAGCATGTATAACCATAAACAAAAAAAAAAATCAAGGTACCCGCTGACAGGGATCCAGTGCCATATACTTCTTGGCGCCAGCTACTTCTCCTCCAGGACACAAGTCCTTTGTTATATCTGCCAGGTGCCTTGTGGTGCAAATGTAGCACAAACATTGCAAACCCTTAAATGGTACTAAAAATACCTTGATCTTCTGCCAGAATGTTTCTAGTAAACCATAACCCTGAATATACGTAGAATAGATGGTGATAATACTATTGTAAGACAAGCCAACTTGGAGGCAGCCAACAAACCCCACTGTGTCTTACTGGGTTTGTCGTTTGCAAAACTAGGTCTGTCTTGGGTACCACTACAGCATCTGCTAACACCGAAAACAGTAAAAGGAAAGGATTGGGGTGTTTTGACCCAAATTATTAGGTATCCTGTAAAAGAGAAGTCAATAGTCCAACCCTCTGAGACACACCAATATGTTGGAAAATAAAGGCCAGCATTAGCATCTGTTTCACCACCTTACTCTCTAGCATATTATCACCTTCAGACTTGTGAGGACATTTCTCCATATGCTGCAGACTACAAACCAAAGGTACAAAGAGTAGTCTCATGATGCTACCCAGATGCTTCCTCATGCTGCCTTCTGGATGACTGGACCAACCAAGCCTGGTCCAGTCTCTGATGCAGCGTTTGGCCACCATGGGGCCCAACCGTGAGGCAACACGGTACCTCTTGCATGAGGCAACTGCTCTTTGGGAACCCCATCACAGCAGTTTTATATAGCTATTTTATTCCATGAGGACCTCTCATCTCAGGACTAGCAGAGAGATCGCCGGCTCACAGGAGGTTTAGGCATGCTCAAGGCTTTTTTGGTTACAAACTATGAGTCAAATTCTAACCCGTCAGACAGGTGTCCACCCCGACTTACTGCACCGAATTTAGGTGCGTATCAGCTGGAAACCAAGGCACCCAAAATTATAAGTTCCAATTCACCTAGTGCCTCACCACTACCTAACTGATTCAAACGAGGCTCAACATTTGCAAGTGGACAAACTCATGAAAGAGTTTGTCCAGGGCCAAGAAACCAAAGACAAAAGGCATGACCTCTAGCTTAGGAAGTCACTGAGCTACAAACTGGTCAAACTGGGAGAGTACCCCAGAAGGAGTTACCACCAAAGGCTTGTCCCACTTCTCATGCTCCTTCCCCAACCAGCCACCGCCGAGCGCCGTCAGAGGGAGGATACTGGAGAACACAAACCATCAGCCTGACCCAATTCAGACCCTCTTATGTTCCTGTGACTATTAATAACAAATCTCAAGCCATCTGCTGCTGCACACCGAAAAGGCTGAAGGCCTCCCCACACCTAGATCTTACAGCCCAGCCACCTCCAGTCAAAGGGTGGGGAGTCACTTTTATGTCACCACAGAATTTCAGGGCAAGCCTTATCTTTCACGGCGAGTTGCGAAACAGCCGGCGCTGCGGCTGCCCAGCACGCAGCCAGCATCTCCGGCAGAGCGGTGGGAACGCGCCTCGCCAAGGTGAAGCCGAGTCCCTTCCCTGCCTATTTATGAATGTACGCAAGAGGTCAACAGTCTCCAGAAAAGCTGACAGCACAACTTTCAAGCTGAGAAGGCAAATAGTGCTGGTACCCCG